TCATGAGTTATATATTTTTATTACGAAGTAAAAAGTAATAAAATGTGTACTTAGTGCACAAAGGCAAATTGTAGACATGACTGGGTTGTTTGAGGAGTTTGCAGTCTAATTTTTATCATGGATTCTGAACTAGGAAGCATTGGATAATGGTTTCGCTCAATAGAAGACGATATAAATCCTCACAAGTTATAAGTAAAATTATTTGAATTACAATACAGGTCGATAGAGGTCGCTGAATTTTTGTTGTTACATGGTAAACTGACCCTATTTAGACAATCATCTAAAACAGTACACTTTAACAGCTTCACAGAATATTGAAAAGTGACAAGTCCATGGACTGAAACAGTATGCTCTCTTCTGAAATCTTTTAGAAAACTACTTCCTGAGTTCTGTCGTTCTATAACGACGCCCATCAACATGCTAACCTTATGTTTGCTAAACAATATTCCGAGATTATTGTGAACTAGTAAAAGCAGCCGTAAACATTCTCCGCTACGTTTTACGAACAACTCATCACGAAATCCAATAAAAAACAGGTTCGCAAGTCGCTTAGTGTCATTTGAAAACAACTGAAAAAGTGAAAAAGTTTATAAATTGCCTGATAATAAAACTGTCAATCGGAACAATCATCAATAAATCTAGTAAACTCAGTATGCAACTATAGACCAAGGTGCAGTTCCATATATTCGGTTTTACATAACGTTGTGCCTTTCGCGTGACAGCTAGTGTGATACTATTGATCTAACTAAAATAATACAGGCCGGACGTGTTAAACTTTCAGCCCGATAGTTGAAAGTCACATAGTTTAACCACTAATCCACGTACGTTTCATCCTCAAAAACATGAAATACAGAATAGTTATTAATATAACATTCTCAATTTGTCAAACACAAAGGGTACAACGTAAGTTGTGCAAACTCAAAACACTTTCCAAAGAGTAAATATTTATTAAATACTCATATTTTTTACATATGAATAGCTCAACAATATTTTTAGTTGCACGTTATTTGCATCCATCAATGTTGAAGTTTAAATAATCTCATAGAAAGACAGATTTCTTATTGTATCAGATGACAAATATCTCAAAGATCATATTCAATCAAACAAATTTTAACTAATTTACTTTCATTTTACCAGTATAAATTAAAACACACAGCATGTTCAGAAATTATATACGTTATTGATCAGGTGTACAACACATATTACCGATACTGAATTAATGACAGTTTCGATGTTTCATTAAGCAACATAATAATTGTAATCTAATAGATTAAAAAAAGCTATTTGATTATTGTTTCTGTTAAAAGCATCAATCGTTCTTCATATCACCAAGTTTTTAATGAATCAATACACATCCAATTATGTTTTAACTTAGTGACAACAGTGATATTCATAACAAAGGTAAAAATCAGGTCAAATTGGATAAAAAGAGAACTGCTTTATACATACTAATGTTTTTTAAACATTGCATGCTTATCTAGTGTATAAAATCATAACCTCAATTACTAGATAAACCAACAGTTCAAGTTGAGTAGTTGGTAAATGAACATATAAAAGACGCTTACAATATGAATGGACGATGATTTTAAGTTGTATACCGTTTTCATTTACAGCCAGTAACTTTTCTTAAAAAAGTAAATAACTAGGATTGAAGTTATTGGCTGGGTTTATTCATTTGCCTGTAATAAGCACTAGGATATACCAGACTAAAGCTGAAGACCTTGAAGATAAAAACATTCGTTCTGCTAAGGTTTTACAAATTCCTGATGGATAAAGATATTACTACCATACATGAAGTAGAATAAACTTACACTAGCAACCAGTGAGACGCATCCCTTATTAAATACGCTTATGCACCGACAAAGAAGGTCGGATATAGATTATTGCAGTTAGAAAGTATTTTGTTTACAATACAAAACAGTATACATACCTAGTTTAGATGGTAAATTATATTGAAGTTTACTAGTTTCTGACACGACCGGATTATTTTAAAAACCTATGCTTTTAATAATTGATTCCTCTGTTTGTACCTAGTAGAGAACCTACAGATCGACGTGATACGTTACTTTTATGCCTAATTCATCTAGAAGTAGATAACCACGTTATTGAGAAAATGGTTATCTTTCCGCACTTACAGAGAAATTATCAAAGTCAATATAAGTGGAGCTCTAATGATCATAAAGTGTAGCAACTCTAATTTTTTTCGACCTTAGAAAAGCCGATGTCTGAAAATATAAATTATTTTCACAGTCAATGTGCTTCTCATCAACAAAATACGGTAGCCGATTATTTAGCAGGCTTAATATAATGAAATCGAGTTGTGCCAAAACTATAAGTTGATACCTCCAAGTGCCAGTTATCATCAAACTTCATCTATGGAGGGTATTTAACTATGCCATTAATTGAATAAATCGATAACAAAGTCAAGTGATTGTCATGAAAATTAAGTTTATTGAAGTCACAACAGAAGGATTAACTGGGTATATTACATGTTGACATCCACCCGTTGGTCGAACGAGTTGAAATCTAAGAATTTAACGGTGATATGCGAATCAATTCAAGTTCCTACACTTGAGACCGACGCGATGAGAGGAGATTAGGACTCGTTACAAAATGATAACATCTCTAATCAAAGATCATAGTTATCTCATGAATCGCAACCTCAGTCTACATTTGTTGACACAGCTTAAATATCAGCAGTTATACTGAGTGGAAACAAAGTAGATTACTTACTCTGAATTCCATCTTTCAGGTTGTATTACACAAGAATCCAGTGAGCAAATGTCTTGTTGTCAAGTTGTACTCAACTATTACGGAGATGTTAAATTTATTGAAAAATGGTAAGATTGCCACCTGTACATGTTTTTCTTCCCTAAGTGTAAAATGTTGCTTTAGGACGTCCATGTTATGGCCTAGACTTCTTAACAATAATAAGAACTGCTTTATCAAATATTAATTGTTTACCACTACATGGAATCCCCAACATGTGAATGATAGTGATTGAAGTAGTTGGGTGAGTCAATCACTTATATTGGAAGTCTCATCAGCCCTGATGGATTGGTGTCTTAACAAATCTTGGCGGGAATCGAGAAAGCTCATTTGGGTTCTTCAACTGTCACTTTCTGCGCAGATGAGAGGTCTGTCTGTCATTGAAAGAGCCAATATGTTGTCCAGCAGTTTGCGGTTTATTTTATGGCTGTGAAACAATCTATGAGGTAGTGTGCATATGTAGGCTACGAGTTTTAGATTACAGGTGTCTCTGAAGTATTGCTCACAACACTGAACGAAGAGAGCAATGCTGATGTCAGATGTAGGACACCACGTCAAAGTGGGAAACCGGTTGATCGAGATGCAAATTTTCGTCAACCAAAGGAAGTGGAATACACAATACGTTTCTTCAACAACCGCCTACTTAGACATGTAGTGTTGGCTATTATAGTAGTGAATCAGAAGAATTCACTTTTTATGCTCTTTTAAGTCTTAAGATCTAATCTTCCTTTATACGTAACTTCTCATCCCCTCCTCCGGAATCATATTCTTAATATTTGTTGTTTTTCAATAGTACGTTAACTGTTACGTGTTTACCATTCATCTTCTAAATTTAATCTCACTGTAAAGATTTGACGTGGTGACTCGGGTAAAGCCCATCTGTATGACGCCGTAATTATCATTGCTGCACAGATTTCTAGATAATTCAGAAGCAATGCAGCCTATGTGCTGTACAATACTAAGTGGTAGAGATAGCTTAGAAAAACTAATTACAACTGTCATACAAACAGTATCTTCACGGATTAAAGTTGCAGCAGAAGTATTTCCAAAAGTACACGTAACTCGGAAATAACTATGACACAAAGTTCGAAGCCAGGCTAAAATGACAAGAATTAGTATGTCTGGATATTTAGCTATTGTGGTTAGTAACAAACTGACAAAAAGTGCTCCTCAGATCAACACAATATAATAAGACCAAACATTGACGATTGAGTGCACTAATTAGTCCACAGACTTGCAATACTTTGGTCAAATTATTAAATGTCTAGTTTTACTTATTGCCGGATGGGTACTTTTCCGAACTGCATATAAGTTTTCACAAATTAAAATCTAAATATTTAACAACTTCTAGAAATTTCCATTTGAAACAATCATCTTAATGCCATTAAAGGACAATCCCTAGTTCTATTATAGAGAATTTCCCATCGCTTTGGGTAGAGTGAAGCTGCTGAACACGAACTACAAGGGCTAAATGTTGGGAGGAACTTATGTAGGCCTTAGGTAGGAATCATCACAACCAAGTACATTTAACATATCTTGCAGTTAACTCCCAGACAAATCCTGACATAGTGTATCAACAATAACCCTCACTAACAATTTTCATTGATAGGGCTAAAACGAAAGCAAGCATCCCTATAAAAGAATTTGAGGGAACAGATTTAATTAAATCACCACAAACAGGCAAACATTTTGGATATATATTCAAAAATTTTAGTATTAGTTAGACCGAATCTAAACAAGAAATATCTTGGAAATATGAGACTTCAGGCCAAGTACGTATAAACAACAACAGATTGTCACCTAGAAAGTTTATAAGTAGTTTATTTTCAGTTTCAGAACAAAATTGAACTCAATATGCAAAAGAAATGGACGATCTGATAGTTTGCGGACCTTTAAACCAGCATTACGAGACACTACAACTTACTCGGCTTGTATGGCGATTTCACTCACATTGGGAGCAGTGCAACTCAATCTCTCGATTTGCGCTGCCCGAAAGACCGACATTCGTGTATTAAGGAGATTTTTATTCTTGGCGGCTTACATAAGCCCGTCAGGACAGTACGGGCCAATAGAAATACTGACATTGAGGTCATTATAAAATTCTCTATATATCTTTTATTCAAACTATTTTAATAAATAATCAAAAATGGTTCTTCTAAATGTTTTTTATGTTTGTTTGAATATATCATTTATGTTAGCTGAGTAACTAAGACAATTACAAATATCATCTAGTTAATATTATAGGTATACTTTTTATCTGTTGATCAAATTTGATAAATTCTAAATTTCTTGAAATGGAAGTGGTTCCTCGATATGAATATGAGGTTATTATTCCACCGGAAGGTGGTTACGTTTCTCTTGAATCAAATGTATACAATCTGAATAATATTCATAAACGAATTACTGACGATCAGTATGGTGTATTTTTCATTGATCCAACTACAAACAATACAATTAATTCACACGCGCATTTTAGAGGTGAAACTATCCATGAAACACCAGACACAACGAGAAAAACCGATCATACATCTCTACATCAACACGCAGATATTTGTAATATCACTTCTCTCACACTACCCGCTCCTTTGCAGTATTTAGAGCCTACTCAACAATGCAGCACAAGCTTTCATCATCATTGTCTTCCTCTTCAACTAAAGTATTTCCATTCTCTAAGGAACTTTACAATACTAAGCCAAATTGGCATTGGACAATTTAGTAGTGTCTATCGTGCTGAGTGCAATCAACCGTCTGATCTTAATGTAGCCCTTAAAGTTATCAAGGTATGTAAACTGCCCCGGGCGTTGATATTGCATAGTGGTTAATTACCCCTCTTTTCAAGGATATGCGCTTTTGAATAGTTGTTATCATTGTAGAACATAATTTTCAGTGTCATGCTTTGTATGCATTGTCTAAATGTGGTAATCTTCGTTAACTGGTTTGGTATATCTTTGACTAAGCTTGCAGTTACAACTTCAACTTTGAGTTCATCGAAATATTTCTCATTTCTGTCTCTGTTATTATCTTATAAACAGGATTTGCTTACGCTATCATTTATCTTTGATAATCATACTTTTTGAAATATTTTGAACTACAGGTGAAGTTTCTGTAAAACAAAGTTAGCTATATGCATAAAAGTTCTATATCTCGAATACGTAGCGCACCAACTCAAAGACATAGTGGAGTGAATCTTGATGGATTATCAGTATACTCTACTTTGTCCAACTACGAAGTGCAAGGGTCTATTGGACAAGGTCAGTTTTCAACCGTATGGCAAGCTTTTCACACTCCGTCCCGTCAGACAGTTGCTATGAAAAAAATTAAGGTTAATCCAGTTTTCTGTGACTGTCGTCAACATTTGTTGTCCACCACACAGATGTTGTGTTTGTCGATTTAGATTTGATTATTTGCATGCAAACCAAATAATGTATTACTTTGTATTTAAATGTCAAAAGTTAGGCAATTATAATTTGGTTTATTCCTAAACCTAGTTATCATAGGTTTTGCACCTTTGACTGACCTTGTTTTCCGTAAAACGTATAAGTGTTTGAGCGATTTTTATGGTCTGTCACATAAAACTCAACTTTAAAACAAAGAAATATCAATAAGAGTAATGGAATTTATCAACTCCTATATGTAGAATAAAATAGGTGTTTATCCAGCTTTTCAGTGCATATACAGACATACTGGTATTTTTGTTTGCTTATTACGCATATATACTTGTATTAAGAGAATCAATGTGAGGTTTTTCTAGTTTTACCTGATGTAAAACAAATGTATTTCATCCATGTATGTTTACAGAAAAACTCACTACATTCATCTTTGTGCTAGTTTGTTAATCCTCTATCGATTTTTAGTTTCAAACTTTTATAGGGCAGTATTGTGCTCATCACTCAAAACGTTCGTTCGGTTGTAAATCTTACATTCAACTAACAAATATTAAATGTTGAATTCCCTTTATTAAGTCACTTATAAAACTAACTATATAAACAATATGATTATGTTGCTATATCATTTCAAATTTGAGGACAGCCAATAGCTACTGTAAGGTGAATAAACCTGGTATCACTGTCACGATCGAAATTTGAACTTTATGTACTCTAGTGTTTTGCCAGAATGTTGAGTGTTTCACATAAGACGGAGTTCACGAGCCAGTTCCAAAAATACCTTAGTAGCTGCAAGTGAACCAGAGCTTGAAGACAGGAAAAAGTCATAAATGCACTTTAGTATATTGTATTAGGGTTATGAATGAAGCAGTAGTTGTGAAAAAAATCGTTGCTTCATACACCACATTGATTTCAATAAATAAACAAATGCACAGAATATTTGCGGAATAGTGGATTGTGACTAGAACTAAGAGGAAGAAATCCTAACATTCTAAATTGGGTTTAAATAGCTTGCTTAACTTGTAAAACATTTAATCGTTGATATTATTCAAATACAACTTTTGCGCTCAATGTATTCGCTATCCTCGATGCTCAACTTTCGTCAAAATATATATTTACGGTCTGACGAATATGGTGATCTTCAGAATACTAAGGATTACTTAGTAAAAGCTGTGTATATGAAAATTAAAATCGGATCCAGTAATTAAGTTGAATGTTTTCTATTTTTTCACAAATTTTGGAGACTTTACTACTATATATACCTATGCTCCTTGCTTGTTAACTGTGAAAGATGAGATACGTTCATGGCATTTGTTTGGTTGATTGTAAAAAAATTTCCTGTCATGTTAAAAACTTAGATCGATACATTTAAGTGTCAGTTTAATCTTGCAATAGAACTAAATGAAAACACAAATTCAAAATTTAGCATGTTTAGCGAACCTAAAGTAAATATATTTATGCTTTATTTCGGTACTGGGATAAGAATTTTTAGAAGCTCGAAACCCTACTATACAATGTTAATATCTTTATATAACGACAGCTTACAAGCGTTTCCTGTAAATTCGACATCCATTTAGTGGCAACTGGGCATATATATGATGCTGCTGTGTAAAACTGCTGATCTCTCAATAAAGTATTACACATGGCTGGAAGTTTAGCTCCTCTTTAACGCAGATGAATAGCTATTTGATCTTTTTCATAAACTTGACAATGCTGAAAAAAATGACAAACAAGTTACCCCTTCACTTTTTCTATAAACACTGAATAATATTTGCTTTTTCAGAAAGAGCGGGAACAGAAAATCGGGCAGAACAGCATGAATTCATTGTATTTTGTTAGATTTTCATCGGCTACTTTCATTCTATCATACATTTCAATCACAATTATCACAAAGTTGATATGCTTATAATAAGGAAATTAGACAAATGTGGACATCTATCATCATGATGAGTTAGCGATCCGGATAAATGTGATGAGACTGAAGAAGTATAAAGAGTGTTGTAAATAAATATAATATGTGATAGAAGATTCTGGAACATCAGCTACAGTAACAAGAGATCAAGTTGAACTTAACATGGGTTTGTTGTCTACTGTGATTTACCTAAGCCTATTTCCCGTAATTTTCATATATTTCTTAATAAGTTTCTGCAAATATTCGTTGTTCGTCGGACATTTCTTTGTCATTCGTCAGATCTGCTTCTAGTGTATCAGTGGTACATCTTTGTTCTGCTCCATTAAATAACATTTTAATAAGTGGCGTTTGGTAACTAATATGAAAAAGCGTTAAATCACAAATAAACCCCCTTTTTCAATAATCTGCGCGTCCAATTGTTCTGTTCATCCTGTATTGTATAGCGGCATCGAGAAAATGGGACTTATCAACCTATTCATGTTCCATTATAAACCGGATATTTTTATAAGAATCGTTGGATAAGTTTAGCATGTGTTTTGCTTGTTATTGATCATTACATACAATGAAAGTGTCATTGACATACTGCACATTATACGCCATATCATCATTCGCTGAAAATGAATGCATATATTAGAACAGGACCAAGTGGACTTGCGATTATTACACTGTAAACCTGAAGGCATATGTTGTTATCGATTCGACAGTGAACCTCTTACATGCACATAAAACACATATATTTGAGTTCGGACACTAATAAAGGTAGAAGTTTAGGTTGCTAGCAAATTATGACGGTGGTTCAAGAAAGTAGTATTTCGGTAAGCAAGAAGGTTACATCAAGAAAATCTATTGACTTACCAGCATTGTTTATATACTTAACACAGTCAATAAACTAAAGATAGGTTTTCAGTGTATATGTAATTAACTGTTTAATCCCAACTTAGGTCGCTCCTAATTAATGTCAATTTGTGCTCATTTACTTCATTATGTGGTCACTTGATATTTTTAGCTGTGTGATCACTTGTTACTGTAGCTAATGTTCCAGAATCTTCTATCACATATTATATTTATTTACAACACTTTATACTTCTTCAGTCTCATCACATTTATCCGGATCGCTAACTCATCATAATGATAGATGTCCACATTTGTCTAATTTCCTTATTATAAGCATGTCAACTTTGTGATAATTGTGATTGAAATGTATGATAGAATGAAAGTAGCCGATGAAAATCTAACAAAATACAATGAATTCATGTTGTTCTGCCCAACTTTCTGTTCTTTCTCTTTTCAGACTAGTTAAGGGATTAAGTGTGTGATTTTAGTTTTCCCCTGAATTCAAACACAGGTTTTATTCTTCTACTTTCGAAGATTTTAATAAGTTCCTTCTGTTCCTGGTCTTTTTGGTAAAAACAAACACGCATAAATTTAAGCCAAGAATTTTCGTTAATTAACTTATTTTGTTTAAATAGCGTATGTTTCAGTGGAATAAACAGGGAATCGATAGCGAAACTACCTTCATCTATATAGCTGTAAGGTCTTATATATGATTACCAAAATATCGGAGATAAACCTTGATTGTATGTCCAATATCTGACTGCGTATTGTCGATGTTACATTAATAATTTAGTTTGGTTTTATTAGTATGAAATCATTATCTGGATAAAGGCAGTGTTACTTGTGTTTAACTTTTGAAAGTTTTGTTCTGAAAATATGATATAGCCTCAATACCTAATGGCTGCACTATGAATTACTTAATGTAGGCCACTCGGCTGATGTTTGAAAGTGGTTAGGAAGCTTTCAATTCAATGCTAGTGTGACTGAATAAATAAAATGACTTGCCTATTACACAAATTTGTATATTTTAGACTTCAGACCTTACGACAATATTTATATAAACCTGTTGGCAGAAAGACGCTTAACAGAACACCATAATGTCATATTGCTTAAATTTGATAAGCTAGTATAATCATTTGACAGCTATGAAAATAAGATGAATGTATCAGCATCCAGGATTTAACCACAACAACCAACTAGTTTTTCACCAATAACGTTATGTCAGTTTAAGAGATTTTAGATCATCTTTACTGAAAATTAAAAGTTTCATATCTATTTCTAAGAAAGGTCAGCATATTCCTACTAGTTATGCTGTAACTAATTTTAAACTTCTCAATGCATTATTCTTATGACAGTTTTAAAACAAAATTTTTACTTGCAGATATCTTCTTTCATCTTAAGAAAGTTAGATTTTTGTTTATAATAAATTTAATACAAAATTTTGGTTTGTTTGTTTCTAGTTTGATGAGAGTCGAGAACGTTTGTTATAATTGCGGTCTTAATAAAAGGCTTTGTTTGTAATAATGTTTCCCATAAATCTATCTGTTACTTCTTCCTGGATTATTATTATTATTATTACATTTATTGAAGCCTTTTTATGTTTATATGCTTATCATGTATCTGGAATTGTGTCAATGATATTTTGTAAATAGTTACTAAACATATTTTTTTTTATTTGTGACTTTATCTAGTCAATTTTTTGTTTCATATTCTTTCTACAGATATTTGAAATGGTCGATGCAAAAGCACGTCAAGATTGCATAAAAGAGATAGACTTATTGAAAGTGAGTTACCATTGTCTTTTATGCATTTTATTGAGCGAAAAAGTAAAATTCTGTATTATTTTATGAAAGCATTACTTTGTCACTTAGTCGCATATGATCATGTTGTTCTGTAGTTTTTGGCAATTTGAATGGGCAATTAGGTAGTTAGTACAACAATGATTTTCAGGCAGTATAATTCTTAATGTTTCCAGAAAACATTGTATATTTCGTAAATTTATTTATTTATTCTCTGAAGAAGTGGCTTACATTGGGTCACGAAACGGCAGAAAATCTCATTTTACTACTCATTAAGATATTACAAATATTTTATTTGTAACAATTTACCCAATGCTCAATGTATTCGAAATTACCAAGTCAAACCTTGGTACCTACAAACTAATTGTATATTTCACATATTTCAATGATTTAAGCGAACATTTTTTCACTACTCAAATTAACTGATATTTTGTCACAGGGAGAATAGCCTCAATGTAAAATTTGGATAAATACCGCCATGATTTTGATTAGTAAATGTGTTTATATCAAATTGATGTATCATAGAAACTCAATATAACTCTCATCTGATTTCCACTCAACATAACACTTTTTTATGTAAATGTCAAACTTAAGTGAACCTCTCTAGTACAAATATGGTAATCTAATACAATTCTTCCACCTTACAGAAAATCGACTTTAGTCTTCAAAACATTAAATATTTGTATCTAATGCAATAGTTTTACTTTTGAATATACTAGTTATTATGACTTTATACTACTTATATTTGATAGTAGTAATAACATGCAAAATGAAAATATCACTGATGAAAAGTAGTTTCACTTAACTTATCTAGAAAAACTGATTTCAAATTCATAATCTATATAAATTCCTCAATTAATATTCTGTCTATTTGTAAAGAATATTATCTATATTGATCATTTACAATCATTCAATCAATTATTTATATAAGTAATATTGAATTATTGTTCTCATAGTGATTAAGTTATGAAATGTTTGAATTTGTTTGTTTATTCAATTCAAAACAACAAAATTTAAAACAAAAACAAAAATTGTATTATTTAAAACACCCAATAGAATTATCAATAAATCTTATTACCTATTCAAAACATCTTAAACTGTTAAATTTTTTATAGAAGATTTACCTAGAGATATAGAATATGTTTACTGATGTCATTCAAATTTAACGGGTAAACCGTTAAAAATACTGTAACTCATTTCAATAATAATAATAATATTTTGATTTGAAAATAGGTAAATTGGATAAAACAAGGTTGGTGTATCCAAATGCTTCTCAGTCATATATTTCAAGGGGTTATTTGCATATGAAGGCCTAATACATTTTTAAATGATTCAAAAAAAAATATTTTGTGATGTGCATCACTTATATACACATAAGTAGTATATAATGATACTCAGGAATGGAATATATTTCAGTAGAAGACTGAGTAGGAAAGAACGGGAACAGAAAGCAATTGGTATGAGAATGCAGGAACAATGAAATCTGAGAGGATGGACTGATATTTACAAAATGATCAGTCAAGTTTGAGACAATTGATTGATATATTGCAAATTGAATATTCACTGTATAGTTTTCAGATTGTAGTGAGATGTTCTGTAATTTTATGTCCCCACTCGTGTTCTTGTTTAGTACAATATGACTTAAATGACCGAATAGAAAATTGATTATTCTCTTCTCCATTTTTCACCATAAGTGACTAGAAGTATTTAAAATAAAAATAACTTGTTCATTATAAGCAAAAATTGATAATGGCTAGCAGTGGAATCCAGGAATCCTATTTGGAATTCGTCATCTGAATGTACCTGCATCTCAGAGTTGATGTTCACTCTGGAACTCGTACCCAGTAACGTTCGCTTCAAACGTCATGGCGTTATCCACTTAGCTACTGAGTCCTGATAGCCACTTGCTAGTACAATGGCGTGAAGTTTAATTCACTTGGTATTGTTTTACTTGAATCTTCCCATTGATGTTTAGGACTGCAATTGATCTGTCTCTCATTGGCATATGTGCATGCTGTACATATTGCCTCGATATTGCCTCAACTTGTTTATTCAGTAAGTTTCTTTTCTTATAAATAAATGGAAGTAATATTTATTAAGCACTTCTAGTTACTATAAATCACCCACTCATTTTATTTGATATATACTTTATTATTTAATGGATTATTTAATTAGAGATTAGATCATCCAAATGTCATTCGTTATTTGGCATCTTTTGTGGAGAATAATGAATTAATTATTGTTTTGGAACTTGCAGATGCGGGTGACCTATCTCACATGATTAAGGTAATTAAAATTTTAATTACAAATTATTGTTTTTAATATTTAGCTACATTATTGGTTGATGATTAAAATCATGGATAGGAGTAAAGACTTTTTCATTAGGATATTAGTAAAATACCCTTAGAATAACAGAGAGTACTCAATATTGTTTCGAATACTATAAATTAAACAATTATTATTTATTCTCTGAAGAAGTGACTTACACCAAGTCACGAAACGTCCGAAAATCTAATTTTCTACTCATTAGAATATTAAAAATATATTATTTATTTATAATTATTCCGATTGGTTTAAAGCTCTTCATTAATAGGTATTATATTCCCTGTAATTAACTTTCTCATTAATTCTAAACTTCAAATTTCAGTTTTTCTTCTTCTTAAGGGAACTAGATTAAAAGTAATTGAGCTGACGGAACCTACTGTCATTTACTAGATAATGTTGAGTATAACTATTTATATTTAAATATTTCCAAATCTTTTGATGCAAAGTGATTTATAGATTGTCAAGGTTTTATTAAAATCTCGTTAGAAGATAATTATAATAATAAATACTTGATTGACCAAGTTCAAATACATCTCTTCAATGGGGGTTTCATGATAGCGACTAACGTATATCATCTATGATGTACACTGTTTTTAACATGATTCACAATATTTTAGATGGCTCTACTTCTTTTGATAAAACAATTTAAGCTACTATCTTCTGTTAAGTAAGTCGTTCAAAGTTGATGATATAAATTGGTGTTCAAATTTTTGTTAGTTAACAAATAAAATGTTATGTACAAAACCGATAACCGGTGATACTGTAGTCCAAATTATTGGAATAAGTTAATTATTGTACAAATAAAAAAGGTTGAATCATAATTAACTTATAAGAAACAATTCAGACAAATTATATATTGGTCCATATACGTAATCTTGGCTTTGATAGACAGATATTGATCTACTAAACTAACATATTGAATGATGTGAGTTTGAATAGCCGAAAACCTTCGATTTTTATTATGGTAACAATTACCCTCTACTTAAAGTTTCAGTTCAACAGAAGCTTCTTTAAAGTTATACTACATATTTATCAATAATCTTGATTATTTATTGTTTAAGTAGATGTCATCCTAAATTAATGTGACACTATTGTTGCTGAATCACTTTGTTTTGTCTTGAACGATCAATGGTTATAAAAATTTCAAGTTCAAGACATTGATTTCAATAGAATGTATTAGATATCAGACATTTTTTGCCTTATCATCCTCTTAATGAACTATTTCAAAGCATCATACATACTACTAATAAAACAAGTATTTTATATTTTCATTATGAATTCTACTTTTCTAAGCATTTTAGAAAGAAAAAGCGATTAATTCCTGAAAAAACAATTTGGAAGTATTTCGTTCAGATTAGTAGTGGATTAGAGCATATGCATTCGAAACGTATCATGCACCGAGGTAATATATATATTTATGAATTCAGCTGATTTTTTCACGTTACTTATTGTGGGCAAATCTAGAACCTGACAGGCTGATTAGACGAGAAATTTAATTTTATAGATGCATCGTTTTAAGTTCATAAATATTAAAGCAACGTAGAGGGACTTAAACCCCACTGATCGATTTAGCTGTTTCTTAATTTGAGGAGTTGGTTTTAGTCTCTTAAAGTGTTGAGAAACACTATAACTTACAATCTATTTCGTAAAGCTAAACAGTCATTTATTCATCAATCTGCTCTTCTTTAATGTATTCACTTTAATTTTATATAGATCATTATTGTATTCGATTGCTCGACTTCCAAAAAGATTTCAATTGGGTAAGAAAGGATTTCGCGTATTTTTATCATCTCCTTGGCGCCAATTTATCTAATTATATTCATTCTAAACATAGAGATTAACGTTACTGAATTCAACTTGTCTTTGGTTTTCATTCCTTTGTATTGTCAATCACTTTTAGTGATTCGACGATGAAACAAAGATTCGAGCAATCTGGTAATATGAAATATAAAAAAACATTTAAAAAATATCGAATCCATTTTGTTGTTAGCTTGGATAGCAAATAAGCGTTACAACAGTAATACTGAAGATTTCTAGTTTGAAACATAAAATTTGGTTATGAGGATATTTATGGACTTCAGTATGTGGATTTGTAGAGATTGTAGTATTTTAACAGTTGAATCCATGATCTTGCTTATACTCTTACTACCTCTACCACTACGGGATTGAATCGATAATTGCATCTCTGTGTTAATGTGGCATGGCAGCTCGAACTGATCTACGTACGAAGTTCCACGTTGTTACTGACTGACTTTATCCATTATCTTAGGTGGATAACTGTCTCACGTCCTGACACGGATTGAACTTCAGTAGTCATGGCTTTTCACTATGACTCCAGGAAATTCATGTTGAAGCTGGTCACTAGTGAGCACATGATTATTATCAGTATGGGGATTTGTGGAGATTATAGTATTTTCACAGTTGAATTTACGAGTCGATCTAAGCTAGACTTGTTTAAATTATACAGAACGATGATTTAAGGACTATTTTTGTACCTGGTCTACTTTAAAAATGTCAAAAAGATGATAATTGAAGCTAGCAAATATAGTTTGCCAGTTGTCAGATGTTCCAGCCTGCGTGAGAAGGTAACAGTGTGTAATAATTTGATTAGTGAATAGACATATAAATTTTTTACCTTACTCACTGTGTACTTCTAACGTATTATCAAAACATTTATTATGGTCATAACAAAAAAGATTACATCAATTAATGTGCCCTAGTTACTAATGTTTCTTCTATATCCTTCAACTATACAGTGCTTGAATTGAAACCTATTTTATCCTTTTTTACAGAATTAAAGTAATCTTCACTCACAGTTGTTTATCAACTTTTTTTTCTTTTATTATTTGCATAACAATGTTTATATTATTCTTTCAATTTCGTTACACAATTCTTTATACAATATGCGATATAACTGAAATGTAAGAAATAACATCGTATCTAATCAATTGAATGAGGTCATTTTGTAGTACAAGGATGTTTACACGTTACTTTGGTAACCAAACATCATCGGTATTGATAATAAATAATATCGTACTAGTTAAAATAATGAATTAACATAACCCGATTTTCCCAGAACAACAACAAATAAGTAAACAAACAAAAAAAGGGAACATATGATAGTAAATTAAATTTGTTAATGTACAATTTCATTTTATCTTGAAAAAAACTAGTTCAATGGTACTTTCAGTAGTTGAGATCATGAGTCGATTGAAGCTATACCACTATGGTAAACCTGGAAGCACTAGATGGCCGTTTCGTCCTCAGCAGTGCGTATCCAAGACTTCGCCTCGCGAGGGTGGTATAGCTACAATTAATTCATAATCTCAACTATTGAAATTACTACAATCTCAACAAAACCCCTTCTAATACAAATCAATGGTATTTGTTTTCATTTTGATTTGATTAACATAGTATTTCCACAAGATAAAAATTGGGAAAAGAAAAAAAGAACAATGTAAGACAAAAAATTAAGAATGATAATAGGAATTCGTATAAAAACACATTTATACTTGAATCTTATTTTGATAATAGAAATCATTTTCACTTGTTGAAATCATGAGTTAATTGAAGCTAGATTACCATGGAAAACCCCGAAGTACTGGAAGGCCGTTTCGTCTTAGTATGGGACTCCTCAGCAGTGCGCATCCAGGATCCCGCACCCCGCGAGGTTATAACCCAGAACCTATCAGTCTCGTGCCGGGCGCTTAACCAACTAGACTACTGAGCCGGCATCCAACGGTGCTAATGTCTAAATTCAACCAAACCACGAAGTTGCGCAACCATACACTATTGTCTTCAGTGAGTTGATTTCTCACAACAGACTCGGTTGAACTCCACTGGTAACGACTTCTCAGTAGAATTCCAAGAGCATCTCCTGAAATCAGTCACTAGTGAGCAGGTGGATGCGCACTGCTGAGCAGTCCCATACTAGGACGAAACGGCCGTCCAGTGCTTCGAGGTTTTCCATGGTAGTCTAGCTACAATTGACTCATGATTTCAACAAGCGAAATTTCTAAAAATCTCCACAAAACCCATTCTGATAATAGGAATCATTTTGTTAAGAAGACTGAATTAAAAATTTTGCTTATTGGCTTGAAATGACTCATAAAATCAGCACAACAAAATCTTTAGAAACTTTATCAAATCCATACCGATAGATTTCAATGTATTCAGAATATTGGTATAATGATTCAATTTATTTATACTGTGACGTTTAATTATACTGAATATAATTTTTTGCATATCTTTATTAGATATCAAGCCTGCCAATGTATTTATCAATGTTAAGGGTCAGGTGAAACTAGGAGATCTTGGATTGGGAAGATATTTTAGTTCAAAGACTATAGCAGCCCACTCCTTAGGTAAGTCATTTCTATCCCTTTTTTCTTGATAAGAATTTCAACAAATCTTTGACTTTGATCACGAAGCATAAAAGATTTGATGATCGAAATCGAGAATATAGTTTGGATTGTTTCCGGGATATTATTAAATATTACAGTAATACATTTGATTGTATTTTCGGGTTATTAACACCATTAGATCGGCGTTAGTGAAAGCTAAGGAGATCAACTGTCATGATTGTAATGCAGCTTATGTAAGAGAAACATCCAAATGATTGAATGTTTAATGGGCCCTCGTATATCTGACTCCAATTTGGATCATGTGATTATCGTTATCGACTTTTACATATTGCCAATCCTCGTATATAATCATCGACTTAAATCACGTTAGTGAACAATGGAATTGAATAACTCAAATACGAGTATGAAGTTTTGAATACGTGTATTTTGTACAATCGTTGATCCAGACAAACCAATCGGAGAAACGAAGAGAAGAAAGCATATCGAAATGACGCGTAGTAACATGTAAGCCAACTCACTTTAATTGAGCATTACTAAATATTTAGTCGAGTCAAAGTAAGGCAAGGCGAATAATTAACAAGGTCAAAATGTAACTCAAGAAGAATTAATGAACTTGTTTGTCCAGAAGCTAGAACAACCCTTGTGGGCTTGACATAGGGAAAGACACTACAAATAAGAGGTTGAAGGAGCACAAACAATGTTTGCAAAATGTTCCCAAACCCTCGGTTGACATGATGAATTTTGACAATAGGTCGACGATAACGCTACACGAGTTAGAAACAGGACACAAGATCAGTTTTGAATGGACTAAAATACTTCAGAAACGGTTTGACGCACATAAAGAAAGATTGACAGCAGAAGATATGGGCTAATGAAGGTGGTATTCAACTAGCTACCACTTGGAAAATGTTCATCAACAAGCAATTGGACCCTATCTCCATCAAATCTATTGATTTCACACACGTCGTTAATCTGACGGAAATTATTCTGGAATATTTTAGCACTACAATTATGTATTTGATGTTTTTGTCATTTCACATTCACATCGACAGTTCAGAAATAATTTCAACTTCCAGCTTGCTCTTGTACTTCATATAAAAACAAATTAACACCTAATATCAACTATTAATAACTCAGTCCCACAAACGCACACTATCATTCATTCATTTATCTTCACATCGTGAACTTTTCACATGATTCGCATATAACTGAATCATGTTATCCTATTCACTAGTCAATATCTGAATATGATTGGATAAGTACAGTAAAGATTTGATCGTTAACCATTATATATTTATTTACTGATTTTGATTATTACCCTGAAGAATTATAGACAAGATTACTAAACCGAACGTCGGAATTATTTAGATTTCAATCGCTGAGATTATTTCTTTTGTGACTTGCGGTGTCCGAAGTCTGATATTGATACTTAATGTACCACAGTCTAACACTCTCTCGTTAAATGCCTACTTGAGCGAGAACATAAGAGTGAACGAGAAAGTGTATCGGGCTACTGGATGAAATGCACAAATACCCATTCATATATATACAACTCCATCCTTAGAAAATTAACCCAATGACCCCAATGAAATTCGCTTAACTTTTAGGTACCTTCTGGTTGTCATCGAATGACATTTTGGTACTTCTAATTAGTTCTTCATACCGATTTCAAATACAATTTTCACTTATAACGTCTCCTCTATACTCGGCGTTCAATTTCTGTCAAACTATTCGTTCTAATATTGACTAATATTCGTATAAGTGATTATATTGTTCTTTTGCAATTAACTATATTTGAGGTTATGTTAATAATTTAATATTCTGGAGGCTAATTTATATTCAAGATTTCATCAAGATTTCATAAGAAGATATGATGTTTAATAATTGGATCCCAAGTCTTTTAATACAAAAGAGTGAACATCAACTCTGAGATGCAAGTACATCCATCTGATGAGTCCCAAACAGGACGAAACACGTGTCCTGGATAACACTGCTAGCCACTATCCATCTTTGCTTATAATGCTTGTAAATTAAGGCAATATAGAGGCAATACATGCAGCATGTACATATGCCAATAAGAGACGGATCAATTGCGGTCCTAAACATCAATGGGAAGATTCAGGTAAAACAATATCAAGTGAATCAGTCAGTCATTCAGTCAGCTACACCGTAGGACCAGACACATATATGCATCGGTCCAAGTTGCCATACCTCATTAAGACAACAAGGTGAACACCGGATTCGTAAAAGTAGTTAATTCAGTGGTGGTAATATATAAAAGAAAGATTGCACATAGGGATATAGTACAGGAAGAAAGAATTAGTTCGTATAAAGAAAGATATGAAGCGATTTTAATGTCTTCGTTTAAGGAAAGACAAAGACTGCATACATCGACGCCATTGTGATCAATTCTGAGCCATGTCAGCAAGAGTCTCCAACCATTGGTTACGATAGTTACACAAACTCCAACCAATAAGTCTGCATCTCCCAACATCGCAAAGACTAGAAGTTAGTGACTTCAAACACTGAAAATATTTTGCCTAATAGTATTAATGAATGATAGCCCATTATGTGCAAAGCTCTTATTTCACAATTTTTCTAAGATAACAGAATAATCTTAACAGTTAAAATTCATTATTTTCATGTTAACATCTTAAGAACACATTGTTTACTTCATTACTACTCAACAGTGTAGTGTTCTATGATGATAATATTTCATTATTTTGTTACTAATTAGGCTTCATAAATGCATCAATCATTCTATGAATCTTAGTTAATTGACATCCGACTTGAAATTTACATTCTACTTTACTAGTAGTGAATATATATAAATCATAGAATTTTGAGTTCTTTCTCTCTCTCTCTCTCTCTCTCTATATATATATATATATATATATATATATATATATATATATATATATATATATATATATATATATATATATATATGATTGTTTGTTTTTTCTGAAGGTTGGGGGGGCAGGTTTAGAAAACATTTATTCTTATAAAACTATAATGAAATGCTTTATATTTTAGTAGTTTTTCCTTATTTCTTCCATTATTACCTTCTAATTTTCATTATAAAGTATTCAGATAATTATTAGATTGAGTCAATGAAGCATACAACTTTGAATATTATATTACTAATTATAAATTATTAAGTAGTCTACAATCCTTTACTGAATTTGTATCTTTTACAATTCTTTAATTATAATTGTTAGCTTCAAAAATTTAAAGTGAATTTATGAAATGAAAATTTCAACTCTACAAACTGTAATGAGAATAAAAATAAGCCAAACAAATAACTATACTACAATCAGGAGATTTTTACTTTTAAACTCATTAAAGCTACTAGTGTAGTGAATGAGAATATAAATGGGAGAGAATCGAGAACCATACAGTAAATACTTAATTTACAAAATATCAATCAATTGTCTCAAACTTGATTATTCATTATTGTAAATATCAATCAATCGTCTCAGACTTCATTGTTTCTGCATTTTAATACCAATTGCTTTCTGTTCCATTTCTTTCCTTCTCGACTTTCTGCTTCCAGACATTCAAATCCTGACTATCGTTGCATATTACTCATAATGATATAAGTAGCATACATCACACTAGTATATTGCTCACTTCTCTAAGAAATTAAAAAAATAATTGAATTAGATGTAGTAACATAGATTGATAGATTATGTATTCATTAGGGATTACTTACAATCATCTGAAATAAAATAAGCAAAATGAAAACTAATTGCTTTCATAAATTTTGTTAATGATATTTCTTTTTGGTTGATGCAAGTATTGTATTGTATTGTATACTCGCTTGTTGGTACAAGGAGGGACCAAATACATATGCGCCACACAAACCTCATTTGATTTGTGTGAGGGCTATGATACTGCCTGGGTTCCCAAACTGAAGTAGATGGTTTTCTTAGGGGGCCACACACGGAGCCTTCGAACTAAAGGTCTAATCCACAAGGCAGTGGAGCAACGTTAGGAAATGCAGTCCCATAGTAGCCGGTGAGCAACAATAAGTTCATACACCATTTGCTTCCTCAGTATCCTGGAGCCCATGTGCACCAGTGGTTTTTGAATCAGGGTTTTCCAACTCCCATAGGTGGACTCTCCGTATCCACCAACCCGGTTAAAGCGCCGTATATTCGGTTTTCTTCCTCTGAATTTCATAAACAATACCCCCGCCACGAGAAGGCAGTGAGTAGGACTTCCCTGGCAGAGGCTATATACGCGTGGCTATGTGAGAGCATTTCGAGAGGGAAAACAGATCCACCCCACTCTCGGTCGTACCAGGGCATTTGGGGGGCAAGTAAAAATCATTTGGTTTAAACTTTACAGAGAAATTCTTTTTTATTTGTTATCTTTGAAAGTATATGACTACAGAAAAAGATGATACAATTAAACAAACCATTTTTAGTTCAGTGGAAGAACCTTTAAACTCCATTAGGTCATTAAACATCTAAGTCGATTTGTAAACTACACTTTTATCATATCTTCAGTAATCATGAAAGCACATTTTTGTATTAATGCCTATTTCTATCCAATACAAAGATGAAATTGTTTATATGATAAATTATGAGTAATGAAATATGAATAAGTAAATTACAAACACTGAGTGTATTTCATATTCGAAACAGCAACATTAAATGAATTAGTAACCCGTTTATCTCAAACATAACTACTCATAATACAGATAAAAATAGATTAGTTCTGCTCATTATTGATTAGTTCGTGAAATTATATTTGTTTATGCAGGAAGTAACCATCAATTAAAGAAAATATAAAAGATTTTTAAGCTGGTTTATCTGTTTTTCTGGTGCATCTATTTATTTTACTTCGTGTTGTAGTTGGTACACCTTATTACATGTCACCAGAACGAATACGTGAACAAGGTTATGATTTTGCATCAGATATATGGTCACTTGGATGTTTACTTTATGAAATGGCCGCATTACAATCACCGTTTTATGGTGACAAGATGAATTTATTTCGTTTGTGCCAAAAAATTGAAAATGGTGATTACGCTCCATTACCTAAAGAAATTTATTCAGCTGAAGTTAGTTTATTTTATTAATGCACTTTTATGTACTAGGCTATTGCTTTATAAGCTGGATCCTTTCTTGATGTGTGTATGGTACTTCAGGTTATGATTCACTTTACGCTTGTAGATAAGTTCGTTGATGACAAACTCTACTCAGAAGATTATTTTACACTAAAATTATTCAGTAATAAAGGTTTTTAATTTAAATTCAATAAGGAGTAAGCAAATATATACACCCCATTTTTACGTAAGGCTCTAGTTCCCTCATGCTAGTTGCGGTAACGTTAGCAGTCTCTAGAAGAAAACATTCTAGAGACTGTGACAAATGATTCTGTTGCATTCAATATGTTAGTAAGGACTTCTAAGGATTTGATTAGGCCCAGTATTAATTAACCGTAACTACCTAATGACCAATCAGTGTGATTTTATATCAACCACCATTTAATTAATGTCAGAAATATTCCCAACGCTTTTATAGTTGTAAAACCTGCTATTTTACCCACTTTTGAGAATATCTAAAAGTGAGTAACTTCAAATTCTCCAGAAACTAAACTAAGAACCTTCATGCTCCATCTAGTAGGATTAATTTAGAACAGTGACTACCATTTAATAGTCATCAATTATATCAGTCATTGTTCTGAGATATTTGAAAGACATCTGACATTCTCCCACTAGACCACATGGAATTTTCCATAAGATCAAACGTTTGAATACTAGCAAGTCAGGGATCATGTAGAAACTGACTTAAAACTGTTTTCAATCTTACAATGTTTGAATCCAATACATTCTGATAATCATTAATTTAGACGATACATACAATTATCTTAACACCAATAATACACAATGATATCAAAGTTAAAAGTAGTAGGCATCTTCATAAGATTCGATATAATTTACAAAAATTATAGTATATGTCATAGCCTATTTCGTGAATCGAAAATATGAGTTTCTTCGAAATGCACTGTTGAATAAAGCTGTAATTCCAACTATTTTGCTGTTACCTTATTTGTGAACAAGTTGTCTTTAGAGATAACTGTTAGCATAGATTGGAATAACTTGAACAAAAAACAATCGATAGTAAAAACTATCTAACATTTGGAAACTGAATAACACAAAGTGTTATGATGTACGGTGTCCAGAATCTAATACTATAACCTTGAGGTAACTGATGCTCCCCGACGGATTCTATCCCGTGTCACCCAGCTTCACAGTCAAAAACGTTACCACTGAGCTATCCGGACCGCTGGGCGATCAATGTCATGTATGCCAGGTCCTTCTCAGCTAAGATTGAATTCTGTCGATTAAGATGCGATGCGGCCACCTGTCCAAGTGACCAGTGGCATGGTATGGTATGCTATGTGCTAGTCCTCCGACTGACTACTTGAGTGAGAACACATGAGTGAGCGAGAAACTGTAGTGGACTACTGCGTAAGATGAACAAATACTCATTCATATATATATATATATATATATATATATATATATCAATGAAGTGAGTTTGACCTTCATATCACTTCTGATTGCTAACGATTGACCTTTCCATTGGGCTACTTCTGATTAGCACTCTACATCACATAGTTTTATGATTTATTAACCTCTTGTAAGCAAGTTAATTGCTTGAAAATTATAAGTTCCACATCTTTTTCTTAATTCATATCAAAACTATATTTTATCATTACAGCTTCGTGAATTAGTCACTGTATGTATACAAAAAGAACCAACGAATAGACCAACTATTACACATATTTATAATATAGCTAAAGAGATGCATGAATTACTCAATGGAAAGATTTCCACTTCTCCTTCATGTTCTCAACTTGATTGTCGACCATCTTCAGCTATTACAAAATAATTCTCTTCATTTTTATTTTCCTCTACATCGAATATATACAATTGATTAATTATATTTATTGTCTTTCAATTTTTTCATGAAGATCATATCAATAACACCTAAATATGAAGATGTTTCTTTTAAGACATAATATAAACAAAATAATAAGATAAATTCACTTTAAACTGCTGCCTAATATAGGAATGTATAATTGACAATTTATTTTTTAAATATTCTCATACTACTGAATTCAAAATCATATTGTGCTGATTCAAATTAAGTTTGTTTTTGTTTTTGTTTAAAAGAAACATTTTTTCTTGCCTTCCCCCCTCTTTTTTTTCTTTAATTATTTTGTATCATATAGTAGTAATTTTTAGTTTTGTATTGAAAAAAAAAGAAAAAGAAAAAAGAAAAGAAAAAATAACAAATAAGAACAGTGGACTCATTTGAATAGTTTCCATTTACTTTTCATTAGAAATAGTTTATCATAAATGAGAAACTTGTTTTCATTTATGTAATCACATATTATTTATCAGTTATGTAACAAAACTTCCATTCATTCTTTCTGTATTGTTTTGTTATGTTTTAAGAGAATTTCATGAATTGATTGCCTCCACTATTATTATTCCATTACATTTTGTTAATATTAATTTCTGCTTTCATATTAGATTTAGATAAATACAATTTTATTCTTTGATTATAATTTATAAAATGAATTTATGTTTTCATTGTGTAATTTATGTGATATCATTGTAGCTTTATTAATAAAGTGAAACGGTTTACTCAAATGAATAATGATACCCTCTATGAATATTGTTACCATTGCACAAGTGGCTATCAGGACTCAATAGCTAAGTGGATAATGCGATTGCGTTTGAAGCGAACGGTACTGAGTCCAAGTCCCAGAGTGAGCATCAAATCTGAGATGCAGGTACATCCAGCTGACGAGTCCTAAATAGTATGAAACGCATGTCCTGGATTCCACTACTAACCACTATCCATCTTTGCTTATAATGATTGTTATCATAGTTCAAGAAATGAAATTGATTATATATGTTTATATGAGGTGATAAAACAAGTTGAACTTAACTTTTACATTGTATATTGTTAATTTATGTAATATTGTACTTGTTATCATTTCGGAATAAAGTGGATAGAAACTATAATTCATAAATAGAAAAAACGGTAATAATTTGTAAACTAGTCTTAAGAATAAGCACAGATGGATAGTGGCTAGCAGTGGAATCCATGACACACATTTCGTCCTGTTTGGGACTCGTCCGCCGGATGTACCTGCATCTCAGAGTTGATGTTCACTCTAAAACTCGAACTCATTACCGTTCGCGTCAAACGTCACCGCGTTATCCACTTAGCTACTGAGTCCTGATAGCCCCAATCCATCTTTGCTTATAATGCTTGTAAATTAAGGCAATATCGAGGTATACGCACAGTAAGCACATATGTCAATAAGATACTGATCAATTTCAGTCCTAAAAAATCAATGGGAAGATTCAAGTAAAAATATACCAGGTGTATTAGTCTTAAGAGTATTTTCATTACAAAATATAAAAGGCTTCATAAATGAAACACTAAATAGTTGCTTTATTTATATATGACGTAATGGTTAAGATGAAGCTAAAGCCTATTTTAATAGTCTAATCAATGCATAATGAAAGCATCTTGTTTAAATACGTTATGTAAATAGCAAAAAACCATATTAGAGATGATCACATTATATTCAGTTCGAAAACAGCATAGATTCATGACAATTAAATTATATTTTTGTTAAGTAATTTAAAAAGCAAATTTTTTAACTGAACCTAGAAACTATCGATTAACTTATATTTTCAATTACATGATATAGTTTGCAAAATATAGTGAATTTGTGGTGTGTGCTACTTATGTTGACATAAGTAGTTTATGATGTTAGTCGTGAACAGAAGGTTTGACAGCAGAGAAACAAGAGGATCGAACAGTAAAGAATGGAAACAGGGTGTAATTTGTATGGAAATGCAAGAACAATGAAGTCTGAGTCATTTTGAGACAATTGATGGACATTTTACTTTATGATTGTTAGATTTTATTAACAAATCCTGTAATTTTGTGTCAGATACATTCGATTGTCCCCACCCGTGTTCTGTTCACTACAAATTCTTTACATTTCGATGCTTTCTCTTCGACTAGTTATAATTTAAGAGATTTATTTGGTGAAACTATAATTTATGGACGAACTTCGAGCGACACTAGAGTGACCTTGAAAGTGTCCACCTAATAACTACGACCAAATGAGTGTTATAAACCAGTGTGAGGAATTAGATATATGATTTAGCGTTGATAGTTAAGGTTAGGAATTAAATTTTTGGTTTTCATCATGAATTGACATCAGCTATAATGCCAAAATTCTATTTAATCAAACAAACGAATGCATTTTGCGCCGAAATTCGAGACCTGTTATCTTATACCTGATTGGTTTGTCCATAAATTATAGTCTCGCCATTTGTTCATTTCAAGTTACCAACGTAATTTAGAATTTGAGGAAATGAATTTTCCATTAATAAGGAATAAGTGGTTTAGAATGTACACATTATTAAGAATTGAATTGTTAACGGGGTTTTTCTTATAAATGCTTGGAATGACAGTTCTAGACTATTTAATAAGAAGACTTTATTACATGATATGATAAAAATCTAACAAACTTAGCAAGAAGAAACACATGTCAGTTAGACGCTTTAAACTTTCACTGTAACTAATTAAAGAACAAAATTCAAGAAAAAGGTGTGAAAATGCTTGGGCTACCAAGACAGATAGAGGTGAACTTGGGATATTTTTTGAGTACAAAGGTCAAGTTGAAGTCTTCTAATTACTCTGAATTCCATAAAGTTTATTAATGTAGATCTGAATTATTTACTGTTTAAGAATCGTTTCAAATTATGTTAGTAATTCGAGATAACTAAGCTTACTAGCTTGTATGTAACGAAATACAGAGAACACAGTGAATAGTGTAGTTTTCACTTTATTTAAATTACAAATGTGTCAGAAGTTTAATACGTAAAACGGTCTGACAGGCAACGACGATAAATTTATAAATAATGCTAGAAACACGACTAGCAGTCACTTTACAGTGTACCCCGTTATATAAGTATAATAAGGACTGACCGAACACTATCCACTACAATTACATGAATAAGTAATTGTGTCTTCGATACTCATTTGAATTCTAACCAGCCAGTCAGTAGAAATATATTTGAGACAAGTTCAAACACAATTGGTTATAAATGTAGGGTTGTTCATAGATAATGTAGATGATGTTACTTTTAGAAAATTAAAGTATAACATAAGAGATTGTGTATACAGTTAACGTGTTAAATAAATTTACACTACTGAAATCTCATGTCAAGTTTACTGTTGCTGATATATTTTTGACTGAATTTTAATATTCCAAATCGCATTACGAATCAATAAAAACTAACTTGGTATTGTTTGCTTGTGAATTTAAACTTCGCCCCATTGAACAAGAAGGTGGCTATCAGGACTTCGTAGCTAAATGGATGACGCGATGGAGTTTGAAGTGAACGGTACTGGGTCCGAGTTCCCAAATGAACATCAACTCTGGGATGCAGGCACATTCAGTTGATGAGTCTCGGAAAAGACAAAATGGGCATCTTGGATTCCACTGCTAGCCACCATCTATCTTTGTCAGTAAAAATTGGTTTAAAATTTATACTTTTGTATAAGCGAATGGCTACACTAACTCAGTAGCTAACTTGATTGAGAGTTAGCTTTCTGAAGCTAAAGGTACTGGGTTCAAATCTTAGGGTGAGCATCAACTTCAGGATGCAGATATATCCAGGTAACAGATCCCAAAAATTGTGTCTTATCAACCACATCACCTAATTTAGATGGACTGAATTCACTTAATAATTAACTCGCACGATTCTTCATTAACGTAATTTAGTAGGAATGACCATAGAAATATGAACAAATATATAGGTCGCTAATTAACCAAAATTCTAAGATGACGTCAACTAATTCTATGATTAACAGCCATGATATACAAATACTCAGCTGAGAGTTGATTCTTGCTGACATAGCCTAAGTAAATGTAAACTTCACTATCATTAAATATTAACGATAAACAATACGCAACCGAATACATGTAAATAATTTTTTCATAGAGTAAAATATAGGTATATTAGAATCCTGTCAAAAGGATCAATGATGATTATATTTCATTTGTTCTGCTCAAAGGTGTCAATGCAATAGAGACATCAGTGACTGCAAACTAAATTTTTGTTCAATAACACCGGAGTATATCTCGAAAACTTAACGATGAACCCGTTATTCAACGATAGTCTAGTGTTTGTAATTGTTTAATCAATCGAAAACTGACACACATAAACAATAGACAATGTGGTTAAATCAGCTGCAGGTTTTAATATTTATTCGGCAGGCCATATAATTAATAAGTCCTATTTTAACGTTACCAGTACCTTTTTCCCCATGTAAGTGCTTCGAAATCAATTTCTGTTCGAAAGTCACATGTCTAACCAAATATAACTGGCCAATACAACTTCACTTAGATCGAACAACACCCCTTATTTAAATAATAGAATTCACAACTTCATTAGACCAAAAAAAGGTGTTCACAATGGGAGTTAATAGTGAAGACAAAAAGGTTATTTTCTTACCAGTTGATGCTAGTGAGCATTCTGCTCGAGCGTTTCAATGGTATCTGGATAATTTTAGAGGGAAAAACGACGAGTTACACTTTTTATTTGTCATTAAACCAATATTTACAACACCAACAGTTGAACTGGCTATGGCATCTTCACCAATAACCGATATTATGCAGTCAACACAGGAGAGCATTGAAAATGCAAAGAAACTTTTACAAAAATACTTGATAAAAGCAAAGCGTTTTGGTATTTCTTGTCAAGCATTTGTTCATGTACATGCTAAACCTGGACCAACTTTGGTAAAATTCGCTGAAGAACAGAAAGCAAATATTATAATAATGGGATCCAGAGGACTTGGTTTTATTGGTCGTACATTACTTGGCAGTGTTACAAACTATGTAATGCTTCATACAAAAACTCCATTGGTAGTTATACCTCCTCCAGTAAAATAATTCTTATCTACTGCTGTTTCCGTATTATCTGCACTCATTAACCGAGGATAGCTTCTATTATTTTGAACTAAATTGTCTGTATGTCATGTAATTGCGTATAATATTTTAATCCTTTCAATGATCGTTCATTTTTTTTACA